ATAATACCTATCTTCTACCTATCATCTTTCTAATCTATCATATACCTATTTATATCTATCTAATATATCATTTACCTATCAGGTTGGTGCAAAAGTAATTGCGGTTTTGGCCATTAAATAGCAAAACACAATTACTTTTGCACCAACCAAATATCTACCTATCATGATCTATTTTCTATCACCTGTCTCTCCTCTATCATTTATTTACCTACCATTCATCATTTATCTACTTATCTATCGTCTATCATCTACCTATCACCTATTAATATCTATCTGCCCATCATCTACCTATCATGATCTATTATCTCTCTATCTACTATCTATGTATCTATTTATCTATCTACCTTTGTGTTTATCTGCTTGTCTGTCTTCCTGTCTGCCCATCTAATATCTAGAAGAATATACACTAAGGCATTATCTGTGATAGTTTTTCTGGGTGTTTTTGTTTATGTCTTATACTTTTAATTTTAACATTTTCTAAAGAAAGTAATCTTCTTTGTATAACTATATAAAAATAAAACTTTCAAACAGTGGATTGCAGAAGCCATTTGGATCTCAGGAAAGGGCAGCCACAGTACAGGGTCTGCAGATATGTGCCGTCTTGACTATTTTCCCAAGGATTTCAGAAAATATCACGTGAACCAACTGAATATAAACTTTGGTCCAGTTTAGTTAAGGACAAGTTAGAGTAGAGAAGAGAGACAGGCAAAACTATAAAGTAGGTGTTTCTAAGTCATTCACAAAATAAAAGCTAAGCAGAATGGGTATTTTTTTTTTCATGTTTTGCCACTGAAATTTGAATGAGCACTTGCTTGTTTGGATTCAGCCTTCTCTGCCGACTGTGTAGGTAATCACCTAACCAAGCATAAGAAAACATTTTGAAATCCCACACTCTCTGGCATGCAATATTCAATGCGTTTGTTGTCTTTTAAGAGAGCCAAACTTAAAATGTGCTGTGATCAGTTTAAAGTAAGAAACTACATTTTAAGTCATTCTTAGCCATTAACACTGTTGGGGCTCAGAACATGATACCCCAAAATATGACACCTTGGCATGCTGAGTGCTTTGAACTGAAAAATATTGCAAAGGTCTCAGAAACAAGGTCTTTCTGACCTTCTCCTGACCCCTAGTATCCTGCCCCTGTTAATCCCCTGAAGTGAGACATAGAAAGTAGAATTTTCCTTCTCCGAGTGGAGCATAGAAATTAGAACTCCTCTCCGCCAAAGCAAGCTACAGAATCTGAAAGATCATTCTCTTTTCCCTTGAAGACTCTTATTTCACAGGGGTCCTGCCCCATACCCAGGAGGAAGGAATACTCCACAGTGAGACTAAGAAGAATGCACAGACAGGCCTTGTTGGGCTTCCCCCTTCAGCCTATTACTACTAGATTCTAACATTTTGTCCAATCATATTTCTACATTTTGCTCATTCTTCATTGAATCTAAGCATCAAAATAGACAGTTTTCCCTAGGTCTTTGATCTTCCTTTCTGAAGCCTCCTGAGTCATGTAAAACTTTGATTAAACAAATTTGCTATGATTTTCTCTTGCTAACCTGTCTTTTGTTATATGAGTGTCATCTGTGACTGTTAGGATGGTTGAGGAAAGGTATCGGTTCCCCCAACACCTCTTTGAAAAGTAGTTTATCCAATGAACCAGAATGTCACCTGACAAATACCAGAGATAATGAGAAAAATGACTGACAAGTATTGATGAGGAAGCCAGGAGGGAAAGTGAGGTGAAAGAAGTGCATGAAAACCTAGACACCAAAACGAAGGAGTTGTAGATGTGAGCTGAACCCACTTCACATGTGTACAAAATTACAATTTTAGTTTTTAGCTCCATTGTTTTATCTTTTAAGACTGTAGCAGGTGAACCAGAGCCAAAAGGCCAAACCTAACCCAGCATATATTTTTGCAAATAAAGGTTTACTGGAACACACGAGGTCCATTTATTTACATATTGTCCGTGGGCTTGCTTGCTACTTTATCAGTGTGCAGTGGTTTTGACCAAGACCCCATGGCCATAAAGCCTCAGCACTTGGCTCTTCACAGATAAAGTTTGCTGATTCCTGTTCTTCAGCAACGGCTGTGGGTGCATTTCCCTGAGGCTGGCCTTGGGAAGGCAGAAACTGCTGAATATACCACACACTGCAATTGAGGCTTAGCTTCTTAGCTCTTTTTGCTGTGTGTGAAGTGATAGAAGCCAGGCTTCCACCAGGGTCTAATGAATCAGAAGGGATGTCCAATTGGCAGTGATTTCTCATTGCCTGGGTTAACCTCTGGATGTGGGAATCAGAGACAAGTAGGTGACTAACGGGAAGGACATCCAGGAAAGAGAAGAGAGATGAGGCAAGACAAAACTTTACTCCTCCTAAGAGTTCTCCAGAGTCTTTCAACATTTTAGCTTCTAGAGGACAGAATTCTGCTTGCTAGTATTCAGTGAATTGAATTTTGTCCTTAGAGACGTGCACACTGCTCCAATGGACTTCAATGGGAGTAATGGGTCATTTGGTCCCGCGACATCTGTGCTGGCTTCAGGCTATTTAACAAACTCCTAAACAAATCCCAATAAAGTGCTCTTTAATGGGTACTTAATTCTGGTGTAGGGCGCTAAGCACACCTAAATCCTTTCTTTTCCTTCAGGTTTACTAAGTTTCCTTCTTTTTATGGTGTGATAATTACTACAAGCAAGAACCCTGAGTCAAGCAGTATTAAACCCACTTAGAGTCACAGGGCTTCTGCTTTTATTGATCTCAGTTGACCTGTTTATTCTCTGGGTTCCAATTTAATGGCTCAATTGATTATTCATTTACATTTTTAATGTCTTTGTGGGTGAAAATCATTTTAACATAAATCATCTCTCACTAAATGAGCGACATGAAATCATTTTGGATTTTCAATTTCAACGAGTATTTATTGCGTCACTGAGCACAGGTGAACTTGACAAAGATGAAGAGGACATTTCAGTTTCTTGTAGAAGATGATAGAAAGGAAGTTTGGTTTTTGCTTTGCAAAATGAGTGTCACATACATGTGGCTCACCTGAAGTCAGAGAGTGGTTAGAATATCAATTTTTCCTTCATTTACTTACTAATTATATTTTGTCTAAATACAATTTGAAACCTACAGTGCCTACATCTTTAGTTGAACTCTTTCTTAAATTAAACCCAGGAGTTTCAATATTATTCATTGATATGTTTTCCTTTAGGATAACCCGGCTTTGCTTTAGAAATGGTGAGAGGTGATTATACTACATAGAACACAACATAATGAGATATAACCTGATTTTGAGCTCACAAAACTTTCTGTTTAACAAAAGTAGGCAACTTGCGAGATCTAACCACAATTATGATTACATGATATTCTTCTTCAAAGCCCTTTAAAATATGTGTGTGGATTTGATTAGATAATGATTTCTTCCTTCACAGCAAGCAGGTAAAGGTCTAAAAATATGGCTGCTTGTGGCTCACTCTTCTTGGTAGGACTGTTTTGAATACAATATTTATAAAGTATATAAGCCAGTCACTTAGAATCTTCACTTCTTTTTAAAATGAGTTGAGCCACAGAAAATGCATAAGTGCATATTTCCAACTATACTCGTCACTTTTATCTGACAATATAAAGGAACCAGAGTTTACCACCAAATAGAGGAGGCACATATTCATCCTTTGAGGAATAGTGTATGCTAGTGCTTGGTGAAAGGAGCAGTGAGAAACAAAACTGTTTGTGACAGTGCTTCACTTTACTAATTTTTACTTGTAATTTTCATAGTTTTATTACCAAATGTGTAGATCAAAAAAGGCAACTAATTTCGACTCTTGCAGAAAAAAAATTTATACAATCAATGGTATTATTCTATCCATGTGGAATTACTAACCTCTTTCCTCTATGTCAGGCTATGACAGGTGGCAGATTATAAATATCAGTAACATAAAATTCTGATGTTTGGAAATTTCCATTCTTACAGACATCTAAACAGATACTTGAAATATAACTTGGGATACAATGTTTTTGTTTCCAAAGTGCTAGTGAACCCTCTGGTAGTCTCAGAGAGCTTTAAAGAAGAGGGAAGTCTGCATGCGGTCAGGTCATGGAGAATGAGGGAGTTCACCACTGTGATGGTCATGCAGAGGATTATCCAAAGTGAGGTGCCAGCCTCAGAAAACAGGAGTCATTGAAAAAAGGATAGACTCTTCATCATAGCTCATGTGAAAGTATAGGCAGTGAGGGATGCTAGGGCGTGGGTTAATGGAAATGAAAATGGCTGGATGATGAAGAGTTTTGAATTAGAAGAAATTCAACTTTTTTATGTAGACAGTGGAGGGTTACTGCCCAACTTTAAATAAAAAGGGGCCTGAATGTCGAAAAATTCGGGACTATAAGCAGAAAGCAGAGGGGAGGTGCCAGTACAAGAAACTTCAAATGAGGGCAGGTCAGAATGACTGACGAGGACTGGATTCCAAGCAGCCATATTTTCATCCTGCACCCTAAATAAGCATGCGGAGCAATGCAAGCTTTATTAAGCGCTCGTCACTGGGGGTTCATGGTCCCTTTCCCATGAAAGCAACCTCTAAATGAATTTCTCTTTGTTAACCTATGTTGGAAACGTTTCTAAGCATTTACATGGCTACTTATCAAGTTGGAATCATATTCCATGGTCATTTTCAATTGTGGTCATAGTCTTATCAGAGCTGGAAAAATGAAAATACATGTTTAATATTGTGATTGGATTATAATATATGTTGATAAGGTGATATTTCTTTTTTTAAAAAAGTTCCCCTAGACTTGATGATAAAAGAATCATTAGATAGGATCAATAAACAAAAAGAAATGTGAATTATGTACACATGCATTGTTAAATTACTTTAGAATATTCAGTTAGCTTTATATAAAAGAGCACGTTTATGTGCTCCACCTGATGAGTTTAATGCCTATTTGATACTTTCGTTCTCTTTGTGCAGAGCAGACACGGCCAGGTGAGGTCTGGTGTGCGTCCCATACCTGTGCTGTCTTCATACACCACAGTCACTGTTTTCCAGTTGTAGTAGAGGACCAGATCCAGGATCGCCCTGCTGATAGCTGCATAATCTGGGTAAAGGTTGATGTAAAACAAATCTTTGTTGTCCACCGAGGGGTGTTTCCAGCGGGTCTGTATGTGCGGAACTTCGAGAGCATTGCAAATAGACTGCACGGCACTGACGGAGGAGCTATGGGAAGGGCCAAAGAGAGCAGCCACACCAAGAGCCAGCTGGTCACATGCTGTTGCCCAAGGACAAGGAGAGGATGGGGAGGGAGGGCAAAGAAAGGGGGAGAGAAAAAGAGAGTTCTTTGAATTTAATTGTTCTCTTTCATGATTCCTATTTTCAATGCAGCTATTGAAAAATCTTTTACAAGCCCTGTCTGTAGATTGAGGAAATATACTTGGTCCAACTTCCGACTTTCTTGAGCTACTAATATACTGATAGATGTAAACTTAGAACTGATTAGCCACAAGGCCAATTCACTGCTGGTTTCGCTTTATTACCTTTAATCAGATGGAGTCTAAATCCCTTGCTTGGTGTGGTGTTACCTGAAAGCACTCCTAGTTACCAACAAGCCCTTTGCCAAGTGAATGCTGTATGAATTAAGTTCTGTCATGCAGCAGGGTGGCAATGAAAATATTAATGTGGTTACAAAATTCAGAAGAAAGAGCCTCTGGGTAACTACACAGTGCTTTAGCTCCTATCTTCCCAAATCTCACAAAGAAGTTCCAGGTTATTGAAATACTGCTAGAGAATGTTCATAAGCAGTGCTTATGTCTGATTAATTTTAAAATAATGAAATAGCATAGCTTAAAAAGATCTTAGAAGACATTTGGTCCAACTCTCTCATTTCATAGACAATGGAGAGAGTTGTGGCCACTGGACAGGAGCTTTGGCTCAAGGTCAGCCACTTTCTACCCTGGTGTCAGAAATCAAGTCAATATCTATTGAAAAATTTACTTATAACATAAATGTATTTTTCTCATTATGATATTATAAACACTCACTGAGAGAATTTAGAATATTTAAAATGTAAGGATAAAAAGACTCTGTGATTAATCCTATCATTTTGGAATAATATCTATTAATATTTGGGAAAATTAGAATCATTATATAAATAGAGTTTGATACATTGCTTTCTTTAACGCTATAGCATGTCTTTTTTTCAGTCATTACAAATTCTTTAAAGTATGTTTTTAGTGTCTGTAGAATAGACCATTCCATGGGCATGTCATCATTTATTTAAGCATTCCTACAATATTAAACATTTGGCTCATGCCTATAATCCCAGCACTTCGGGAGGCTGAGACAGGCAGATCACTCATTGAGGTCAAGAGTTTGAGACCTTGCTGGCCATCATGGTGAAACACCATCTCTACTAAAAATACAAAAATTAGCCAGGTGTGGTGGTGTGCACCTGTATTCCCAAATATTTGGGGGGGGCTGAGACACAAGAATCGCTTGAACCCAGGAGGCAGAGGTTGCAGTGAACAGAGATAGTGCCACCGCACTCCAGCCAGGGTGATAGAGTGAGACTCTGTTTCAAAAAACAAACAAACAAACCCCTCCCAAAAACATTTAAGCTGCTCCTAATTTTTGGCTATTGTAAGTAATATTATAACACCTTAGTTCTTATGTTTTTCTCTACATCCTATGCTACTTTCTAAGAGTAGATTTCCAGAAGTTAAATTACCAGCTATAATTAAGGGGTACAGATAGTTTGAAGTCATTTGAAATATATTAACCAAATTCCCTTCCAGAAGGGCTGAGGCAGTTTGCCCTCTACCACCATGTAAAATAGTGCCTATTAATCTTACACTGGTAGGAATTAAATAAAAGCTTAAACACATTTTCCAATTTATATTTTAATTGTACAAATTTAGAACTGTCATCAGATAATTAAATATCAAATTAGCTAAATTAATAAATGAAATTTTATTATATTTTATAATAATATCCTACAAATAAAAATAGTTAGAAAAATGATATGGCTCTGTAGTTATCTGATATAGTTCAGAAAGAATAACTGATACAACATTGACAGCTATATTGCAGGTATCTAAGGAACAGCAAATGTTTACAAGGAAAACTTTCTTCTACCATGCTCTTTGGTAGTGAATTACTACATGAACTATGAAGATGTACAGTTTTGTGCATTACGTGCTGGAAGTATAAATTGTCATTGTCTTCAGAAGCTTATTTTCTGGTTATGTTTTCATTAGTTAGCCAAGTAAAATGACAGTATGGGAATGTGTAAACTGTTGTTCTATCTAGCATAAGAAATGGATTGAGATTCCTGTTAATATTTAGATCTTAGATACTAATATTACTTGACAGAAAATCAATCCTTTTGAATTCTGTTTGCCAGCAAATTACCAGTTTTAAGAAGCTTTGGAGTGTTTAATTGACAAGTATGCCAGGTACTTCAGATCACAAGAAAGCTTTCAATTTTTATGTGGCTTAGAGTTTCATTGCTAAATGTGGTTGGCTTTCAATGGTATTTGCTTAACAATGTATATGAGTGTCTGTGTCTGTTTGCATAGGGGTGTGTGTGTGTGTGATAAATCTGTCTCTACATTGTAGAGATAATTTATGTGAGGATGGCTTGCAAACTTTAAAATGCTGCATAAATATACAGTTTTATTATTTGTCCATAGAAAACTTAGACCTATATTATATCTCAAAGTCTACCCATCTTGAAAAAGAAAATATTTTCATACTTAAGTTATGCTATAGATATAAAAAGATGATTATGCTGTTAATTTTATATCTGTGCTCCTAAGAAAATAAGTTTTATATTTTGTTTGCAAAGAACACTAGAATTCTTATAGAAGGCTGTATCAGGTGGACATAACCTATGATTGAACTAGATTAATTCTATATGGAAACAACCAGCATTTAATTACCTGGAAATCAGCATAAACATGGTATTCATTTTATTTCATTTATTTGTGTGTATTTAGTAGGCAAGGATTCCTCTTTGAAGCAAAGAACCCCTCCTATTCTGGGGTGATGAGTAGCCTTTGTTTCCACATAAGCACTTCTATTTAGTGACTAGATAGTGTCCCTGTTAGGAGCCAACTCTGAACTATATGGAATGTGATCTTACTTCAAAGACTTGTCCCAGAATTGTCTAGAAGATGTCTAAACAAGCCCCACAATTCCAAATGAATCTTTCTGTGAGAGAAACCTTCCAGCCAGCATATGAATTAGATTATTTTTTAGGCTAGGCACTTGTCTTCAGTTCAGAAGAAAAAAGAGGATCAAATGCAGACGTTTCTCTCACAGGCTTTATCTTCATATTTCTATGATTTTGTGGAAACGAGTGAAAAGAAGTTGGGAGAACACTAGGTAAACTCAGTAGTTTACAACCTGTTAAAATTCAGGGTGTGAGTTATGTGTGTCCTGGGCATTTCCACATGCTCAGTGGATGTGACCTTCTACAATGTTTTATTTGACTGCACTGCACAATTTCATGGTGATATCTCAGCTTCAGGAAGGAAAAACAGATCAAGCTTGACATTTTCCATTCACAGCTGAACTAGTTAATCATAGAGTGGAGGGCACTGAAGGGTAAGCTAATCAGAAAGCCCAGTAAACAGTGCTCGGCAACATCCATTAGTTTAGTTCAGATTGCATTGATCAGTGACATCAAAGACCCAGATTTCCTGTGACCCATTTGCACAAGGATGTCCACTTTGAAAGAGGGCAGGTAGCAAAAAGAAGGTGACTTGGAGAGCAGACATATCACCCAAAGAAGCTTTTAAAAGTGGGAAAATAGTTACCTCTCCGTGAGGCTTCAAAACTATCAAAAAGGTTAATTCTCTGGATGTCATAGGTTAATGTGGTGTTAGGCATCAGGGTTCGGTTTCTGTTAATGCTGGTGACTGCAAACTTGAAAGCTAATTCTTCAACATTAACAGGCTCATTTTCCACTGTTTCAAAAATCCCTCCTGCAGAAGCAAAAGAGATGCATGAGAAGCATTAGTAACATGGTTCACATGTAAATTTTTTTTTTTTTTTTTTTGAGACAGAGTCTAGCTCTGTCGCCCAGGCTGGAGTGCAGTGGTGCTATCTCAGCTCACTGCAACCTCCACCTCTGGGTTAAAGCAATTCTCCTACCTCAGCCTCCTGAGTAGCTGAGATCACAGATGTGCACTATCATGCTCAGCTAATTTTTGTATTATTAGTAGAGATAGGGTTTCACCATGGTGGCCAGGCTGATCTCGAACTCCTGACCTCAGGTGATCCACCCTCCTCGGCCTCCCAAAGTGCTGGGATTACAAGTGTTAGTCACTGCGCCCAGCTAGTAAAAAGAAGAATGTAAATATACGAACAAAAGACCTCAAATGATAAATGGAGGAATAGTCAGAGCAGATCCCAAATCCAGGGCTAAAAAAGTTAAGTTTATCAGCATGCACCACACGCAGATAAATAGGACTAACTGCATATGTATGCTTAAAATTTTAAATCCAATGATGGACTATATTCCAAATATTTAGTGGCATAAAAACTTATAATATGGTGGAAAGCGATTTTCTATGGTGTGGATAAGAATTGCACTGTGCTTGACCTAAACATAATTTGAAGTGGATCCTAGTAGGATCATTCTTCTAGAATGAAGATCTTGCTATTCAGAAGATTAGCAAGACTCTAAGGGGATCATGTGGAGTTGATGGGATCAAAATGACATATACATACTCTTAGATTTTTCAGAATAAAAATATCCTTTTTTGTGCTTCATTGCTCAGAATTCTGATATCATATTCTAGTACTTTCCGAAGTGCACAAGAAGATTCAAAGAACTGTTTTTCTTTTCTTTTCTTTCTTTCTTTTTTTTTGGAAGTTGTTTAGTCTAAGGCAAACCTGCTTCTGATAACTGGAGAAATATGTTGCTTCATGGAGCAAGTGTACATGAGCTAGGCAGGCTCTGATAGCTTAAATGTGAGGATCTCGCTACAAGTAACAATACAAAATATTAGTGCTTAAAGCCTCATCAGAGAATTTAGCTCTGATTTTGCTTGAGACATTGGTCTTTGACAGCAATAATGTAAGTGTTGTTAACTGAATGTTTTTAAATGTTTTTTAAGAGATGTCCTAGAATTATTAATAGACACAGGTCATACAGTAGAAGCTTTCTTAACTGGTCTCCATTTAAGTTACTCCTGGATTGACGAATACTCCTTTTTTCTTTTGAAAATACATGTTAACTAATGCTCATGGAATGCTGAATACTTGTAACTAGCAGGCTGCTATTTTTTTTTTTTATCTACTCTCACAATTGAGTGACCCCTTTCGAAAAGCCAGTAGTAGGTTTTTTGCTGACTTGTCTGTGATAGATTGATTTACAAGTGCTCTAAGTTCTCTCTCCACTCAAAGGGGCAAAAAGAAGAATATAAAAAAATCTGAAATGAAAATCACAAATACGCATCATGAGCATCATTTGTGTGCATTCTTTGTTAGAAAGGGAACTCCAATAGACAGACTAATTCTAATAAATGACCCTGATCCTGCTTTGAAAAAAGCAATAAACACACATCTATAATGTTCCTGCTGAACTGACTTTATTAAATAACTACATTGTTGGGTTGTGAAAGTTAAGATAGTTTATAGTGAATTATTCTGGCTCCTTTTGGAAATATTTCTGGCTTTTATAGACTGATAATATGAGGCATTCATGTATAGATAATTTCTTTGTCTTCTGAGAAATCATAGTTGGAAACCATATGACAATACACCTACTATGCACCCACAGAAACTAAAAATTAAAAAAAGGAAAATTACAGGACAGAGTTAGTTAATAATATTAACCTTTACCTAAGGAGCCATATAAGACCTTTATTCTGAAATGAACATAAGGAAAAATATTTCCGTTCAAGTCAATTTGTGTTTTACTTTTGTCAGATAATTGTTGGGAGAGTCTTTGGAGTCAATTTTCAGTTTCTCTCAGAACTTTGGTGGATGCTCAACAGTGAGGTGACAATGTGACACAAAAGTCACTTGGTCACCAGAAGATGGATGTGAGGCGATCTTACTGCCACCATCACGGTGACCCACACAGAGGGCTGCTTGGTGATAGGGCTTCTTTGGTATTTATTAGCAATTACTTGTTTACTTGTCTATCTCCCCAACCCCACAGGGAGAGCCCTCATGTAGAGAGACTGTGTCTTACTCAGAATCAGCATTCTCGGGGAGACCAAGGCATCTTTAGGACAGTCAGACTACAGCCATTTAAGGGAAAAGTCAATTACTGGTGTGGATGTGAGCGCCATTCATCTGTATAGGGTAGGCTGGTTGGAGACAAAAAATACCTGAATAGGAAACAGAAGTTCTGAATTTTGAAACCTGATCTACCTACTACCTCTTTGAGAAGGATTTTTAAGAATAAGAAAGAAAATACTATGAAATAGCTCTTCTACATATGTTTAATTACACTCTATAAACTTCAAGGTAGGAGGTATTTTTTTCCATTTTTATAGATAAAAAAGTGAACACAAAGATTACACGTTATATCCTGCTTATTCCAAGTCACAGTCTTGTCTGGGACAGATTCAGATGTCTGAGTCTCCACATAATGTAAAAGTTTTCATTTCATCAAGTTATTTCTGCTCTTTGTTTCATACACGTGGGCTAATAATGTTGTCTTGCTTCCCTTGGAGAATTGCTCTATAAAGCAAATGATACAATGTAGTCAAAATATCCTGAAAACTCAAATATTCCCTAGAAATAAGTTTTTTATTATTGCACGTGGATAATGGAAATTAAAAAAAAAGGAGTTGGAACCAGCTTGTGAACTTCCTACTCAACTCAAAATTGTTCTTTTGTGACATAGTTATCTATCACATAAAGCTGAATGAACCTGGGTTTAAGAGAATTACACGTGTTTTCATTGTGTACTTGGGTAGTGTGCAGGTGAATTCTGTTTTGTCACTTTTAGAGCAATTTCTTTTCATTTTTTTCACCAAACAGGCATTATGAATAGTGTCATCAGCTCAAGACCCCATCACACTTTCTCCAAGAGAGGGTTGCTGATAAATGCAAAAAATCTACTGTGGTATGAGGTATATAGAAAGCTGGAGAAGCACCAAGAAAGTAAGATCTAACAGAAACAGAAGTTATTAATAGGAGCCAGACCATTACCTCATATATGGGCAGACTGTTTGAGGATCAGCCATTTCCTCCCTCCTTCCCCTCCCTATAGCTTCAAATACAACAAAATGGGATGTAGAGTCTTTGATAAGAAGAATAAAGGGGCATATAAGTAGGGGCCCTTGCATAATTTCCTCCACCTGTCTTTCCTTCCCTCCTTCTTTCCTTCCCTCCTTCTCTCTCTCTCTCTCCTTCCTCCCTCCCTCTTTCCCTCCCTCCCTTCCTCTTTCTCTTTCTTTCTTTCTTTCTTTCTTTCTTTCTTTCTTTCTTTCTTTCTTTCTTTCTTTCTTTCTTTCTTTCTTTCTTTCTTTCTTTTTTCTTTCTTTCTTTTTCTCTTTCTTGCTCTTTTTTCTTTCTTCTTTCTTTCTTTTCTTTCTCTCTTTCTTTCCTTTCTCTCTCTCTTTCTTTGTTTTTCTTCTTTCTCTCTCTCTCTTTCTGCCTCCTTCCATCCCTTCAACTTTTCCTTCCTTCATCCCTTTTACTTCTTTTATATAATAATTGTGAGTGTGAGCTGTCAATGAGGCTTCTGAAGTCTTTAGGGGTCTTCATATTGTGAACTTCTGGCCTCAGTCATGTGAGGGCCCATTGGTTTGAGATGAGAAATTCCTACCTTGTTCATCCCTCTGTTCGTCTTCCTCTCTCTCTCTCATTTGAGCCAAGCTGACTTCTTCTTCTAAAAATACAGTGGCATGGAAGGGTCAGGAAAGTAAAAAACAAAACTAGCTTAGGCTCAAGGAAGAGAGGCAAAGCTGCCCCTTCTCCTTATATTTTTGAAATTTCTCAAGCCAGGGCAGTGGGTGAAGGGAGAAAGCAGGGCTCTGAGAGCTCAGGATAAAGAACAAGGCTTTTCATTCTGCTGTAATTGTTGAGAAAGTAGAGCATGGCAGATGGAACGCAGGAGGGTGAGAAACCTCAAAATCGGCAGGCCTGGGTTTTCCATGTTCTCTGTCATTGCTTGTGTGTACCTGAAGCTTGAGAAGTATTGTTAAGCTACTTTTTGTCCTTTCTATGCTGTGGATCAGTTTGAGTGAGTACAGATCGTGTGCCAGTCTTTATAGACTGGAAATGGTTGGGCAGTAGTCCTCTGTCTGATCATCACTAGGAAGCTTGAACAAGTGTCAAAGGGCATGCTTAATATCTGCCTCACCAGCCTCTTCCCCACTTCACCCACCATTGTCCAAGCAAAGAGTCGGAAAGTGAAATAAGTTGGGCTTTTTTCTGAGTCATGAGCCTGTCTTTCTAGATGAATATTTGTGCCATTTAAAATGATAAGGGTAAAATCACACTGCTTGTAAACACCAGAGTAGATAAGAAATCTGAAAAAAGTGAATGCTTTTTTTCTTAATAAATGTTCATATTTAGGCTTCACTTAGGAGGGCCTTGCCTTGATTGCTCCCACTGTACTTTGCTGGGAAGGATAGATGCTGGTGTAAATAAGGCTGATGCTAAAACTGTCTGGCCCCCATACTCTGTGTTCCATCACCTGAGACAAGGTATGGTCACTAAACCAAGGGTATGAGACAATAAGGCCTGGACCTACATTCTGCAATAGCTTTGAAACTCAGATGTGACTTGTTTGTTTGTAAGTCACTGTTATGGACTGTATTGTGTCCTCCTTCAAATTTATATGTTGTAGGCCTCACCCTGGGTTCCTCAGAATGTGACCATATTTGGAAGCAGTGTCTTTAAAGCAGTGATTAGGTTACAGTGAGGCAGCTAGGGTGGGCCTTAATCCAGTCTGACTGGTCCTTATAAGAAGAGAAAATCGGGACACACAGAGATATACCAGGGACTTGTGCACACA